GCACACATCTCAGCATTTACAGCTGCCTAGGGGAATCACACATCCCTGGATTCACAGCTTTCTAGGGGAACCCTACATCCCTGCATTCACAGCTGCCTAGGGTAACCACACATCTCAGCATTTACAGCTGTCTAGGGGAGCCCACATCCCTGCATTTACAGCTGTCTAGGGGAGCCCACATCCCTGCATTCACAGCTGTCCAGGGGAACCAAACATCTCATCATTCACAGCTGTCTAGGGGAACCACACATCTTAGCATTCACAGCTGTCTGGGGGGGGGGACCACGCATCCCTGCATTCACAGCTGTCTAAGGGAACCACACATCTCAGCATTCACAGCTGTCTAGGGTACCCCACATCCTTGCATTCACAGCTGTCTAGGGGAACCCCACATCCCTGCATTCACAGCTGTCTAGGGGAACCCCACATCCCTGCATTCACAGCTGTCTAGGGGAACCCCACATCCCTGCATTCACAGCTGTCTAGGGTACCCCACATCCCTGCATTCACAGCTGTCTAGGGGAACCCTACATCCCTGCATTCACAGGTGTCTAGGGAATCCCACATCTCAGCATTCACAGCTGTCTAGGGGAACCCCACATCCCTGCATTCACAGCTGTCTAGGGGAACCCTACAGTCCAGCATTCACAGCTGTCTAGGGGAACCTCACATCCCTGCATTCACAACTGTCTAGCGGAACCAAACATCTCAGCATTCACAGCTGTCTAGGGGAACCAAACATCTCAACATTCACAGCTGTCTAGGGGAACCCTACATCTCAACATTCACAGCTGTCTAGGGGAACCCTACATCTCAACAATAACAGCTGTATTAGGGAACCCCACATCCTTGCAGTCACAGCTGTCTCAAGGAACCAAACATCTCAGCATTCACAGCTGTCTAGGGGAACCAAACATCTCAGCATTCACAGCTGTCTAGGGGAACCAAACATCTCAGCATTCACAGCTGTCTAGGGGAACAAAAAATCTCAGCATTCACAGCTGTCTAGGGTAACCCCACATCTCAGCATTCATAGCTGTCTAGGGGAACCCAACATCTCAGCATTCACAGCTGTCTCGGGGAACCAAACATCTCAGCATTCATAGCTGTCTAGGGGAACCCCACATCTCTGTATTCATAGCTGTCTATGGGAACCAAATAAACACCTCAGCATTCACAGCTGTCTAGCGGAACCAAACATCTCAG